TCTCATCCCACGAGAAAACTCGGCCCGAACATGGTGGCCAGGTAAAGCAACAACTCTCACATGGACCAGGATGAAACTTACTTTCAGATGTTTGATGGCACAAGGGTCATTCATGTGAGTTTGGGGGATAGAGAGGGCCACTTCATGTTTGGACTCCGACAGTTGATTTAGGGTTGGAGCCAAGAGGTAGAAGCGAATCAAAGAAAAGCAACCATGACTGGACAGGCGTTGATCCATGTTTGGTTGGTGTTGGCTGGTCTTCAACTGCCAGTGCTCCTGCGCGCGTCTCACTGAGGCAGTGAGACGCCGAAATCCTCTCACTGAAACCTCCGCGCGCGAACCTCGTGTCATCACAGCCGTCCTCGGTCGTCGTGCGGGTCGTCGTGCGGGTCCTTTCAGCTGCCGGCAGCGGCGAAGGTCCGTCGGAACGCGCGGGCCTGCCTGGGCCCGTAGAATGGAGAAGCCTCCAAAGACGCCTTAGAAGTGCCGTTGATTTGGGTTTCTGCTCCAGAATCCGTCTCTGTCAGGTTCTAGGCGTATAAACCTCCCCACACTGACACGGTTGCAGTATCCACGTCGCCGCAGCAAGCCCGATGGAAGAGCTCCAAATATGCCGGTCAAGGTAGTTACGGGATTTGTTGCATAGTCCAGTTCCTCCTAAGACCCTTCTATCGGCTCTAAGGTAGTTCTGAGCTTTTTATACAATCCCCAAGATCCTAAGTTCCTCCTCGTGTGGCCGGTTTCCCTGAATTTGTGATGGTTTCAGACCACGGAAAGCACAAAACTCACTCTTGGACCGCACGCTTTTTCGGTATAAGAATGCCGCATCAACTATCCGAGTCCAGAGAAACGTTGTTTTTTTCTCCAAACCCTAGGGATCCCAAGTACCTTCTCAGAAGGTGGGACTGGGGTGGGTGCCAGGAGGGTCCAGTTGTGCCTTCTGAGGTTCGGTACGACTGGATCCCTAGGGGAAAGAATGGATTCTCATGGCCCAGGCTTTGTCTTTTGTTGTCCGAGTCCCGGTCACTTATGTTTGGCTTTGTTGTTGTTTTATGTTCAGTCCATTTTGCCACAGTCCAGCAAGGAATTTGATGTGCAGGTTTCTTCCAGCAGCCCGCTGGCAACACTTAGCGCCTTTGGTGGCAAAGGAGTGTTCGATGCCTATTTGCTGACGGGCAGGTCAACTTAGTTCGGAATATTTCAGAGCAGATGTGATCGCACCTGTTTTTGAGCACTCTCAGGCGCCAAGGAAATAACTTGCATGGTGGCAATTATTGTGTGACTGTTCAACTCTTCAATGTAGACTCCTGTTTTAGTAAAGGCCCCCATGAGAAGAAGTTTTACCATCCAAATGGACCCCCTAAGTGGTGGTCTATTAGTCACCAGTCCACAATGTAGGTCTTCCATGTTTGAGGTGGTGGTTTCATCATGTTGAAGAAAAAGTACTCCTCATTCGCGAATGAGCGAAACCACCACGAAACCCCCTCCAAAAACACCCGGGTTCACGGGTCCAAGCGGGGACTGGGGACTGAACACCCTTCAGTCTCTGAACGGAAGCGGCAGGGAGGTGGAGCTGTGCTTCGGCTGGTTCGGGCCTTTTGAGGCGCGTCCTTGGCATTGAATGCCACCTTGGCATCGTTGCAGCTCGAGGACAGCAGGGTGGAGACGTGCAGGTGCGCGGTGGCCACCGGGTCTGCTGCTAGTCTACCACCGCTCCGCGAGCTGGCTGACACCAGTCGACTAGTCGACTGGAACGGTTGACCTGGTTCTGTAGTCACGATTGGCTCGGTTGAAGCCATTCTAAATCAATGACTGCCCAGGAATCCTGGGCAGTCCTAGTCCAAACTACCGAGAAGGTGGGACTGGGGTAGGTTGGGATGGTCGAACAAATCTGGAGGTAGGACTGGAGCTCTGACGTGTTGTCACAGGACTGGGAGGCGGCTGAGCAGTTCGCGAGCCGTGCCCTGCGAGTCTATGAAAGCTCCAAGGCGCGAATCTTGTGGAGCAGAAGGAGACTCTTTGGGAGACCTGACTTGAGCGCAGGAGTGAACAATAGGCGTGAGAGGTATAGATTGCTCCGTGATTGTCCAACTAGTTGGGGTGCTTCTAACCACCAATCCACCCAGCAAAAGCCCCTTGCGCACGTGTTCCCAGAACTCCACAGGTTCCAGCCATCGACGGCCTTGGAGCAGTTGGATCACCGTTCACAACCGTTCACCAGTTGGATTTGATGGGGGGTTCCTCCCTCAAATCCAACAGGTGGACATGTTGGTTCATGTTGATGCAGGAAATGGCTCGGGAGTCAGTATAGATGTACTCTGAGAGCCTGGTTGCTCCTTTAGCTTCAGACGCTTTACATCACATGACATGACTTCTGGCATTGGGATGAAGGTAAACATTCCATACGCGGGGTGGTATTTTACAGTGGGGTTTGTTTTGGAGTACTCCACTCCCATGGATTGTTGGGGACTTTCCACTCTTCCATCTCAACGATGTCAGTGGCCCTGCACCGCTCTCTTCAGGGCTACTACCGACGTGGCCTCGCACGAGCGCAGATGAAGGGAGTGGCTTGGGCCGAAGGAGGTCGAAAGCAGCGCTCATGAGAAGAGCTTTTGAAGGGTTGGGATGCTCTTTACCCGGATCCACAGACCGAACCAGGTCGGTGAGGACGGAGACTGACTATTGATGTAGGCGCCATTGTCGGGTCTAGTCTTACCTTCTGAGAAGGTATGTGGATCCATAGGGTTCAACAACATTGGGACAAAATGCATTGGGACATACGTGGGTGGGTGACAGCATGGTGATCCAACGACGGAGCATGGCGTACCTGTAGCTCGAGGGGACATCCCGCATCCCACCGGCTTTCATGAAGATCTCATGTTTTAGATTGTTTTATGGATTGTTTTAGTGCCTGGAGAAATGGTGACTCTATTCTCTACATGTGACGTCCCCCCTGTCGGACCTGTTCTTCAATGTGATCGTAGCACATTTCGCGAAGCGAAAGCAAACGGAACAAATCATCAATTTCCCTACGACACTCTTGATTTGCCGATTCCAGCTGACCAATTCACAAATATTCCATGTCTTCAGCCTTGGAGATTTAACTCGCAGTTGAGCCATGTTTTGATTGCTTCTTACATGTTCTTGCATACCTGCTAAACCTTATAACCACCTTTTGTTGTCCATGTCGCTAATTGTTGTCTTTTGGTATGGGTGGACAACAATTGTTGTCCGGGACGTGTTTTACCGTAATCCATGAAAATGGTCTTTTTATATACCATGGTACTCATGTATCTAGAGCCCTTTCTCCTTTCCATGCCACATCTACCTCCCGAAACCCGTCCTTTTGACCTGAACGGGTCGTCTTCTCTCGTCCCGCGGTCGGCGCCATGGCTGCCCAGTTGGAAGCCGATGCCAAGCGGGACTTCGAATTCGCGCTGAAGCTAGGACGCCCAGACTCGACGAGGAACAGGGGACGAAGTGGAAGGGCTCTTAGGGGCGTGACATGGACGAGTCCGCAAGTTGGTGTGTGTAGGGACGAAACTCAGGTTTTTTATGATCCCAGACACTAAGACCCAGAACCTGGGACTGCCGAGAAACGGACTGCCGAGAAACGGCCAGGGGTAGTGGTTTGGGGGGTCAATGGCATATATGCCAGTCCCATGGAGTGTTTGGCTTCACCCATGACACATCATGAAACTATCCCAATAGCCGCAACCATACCAATGGACGTATATAGATATGCCAGTCCCATGGGGTGTTTGGCTTATGGGCCATGGCAGTTGTGTTGCTGAGGGTCTGCCTGGAGAATCTACAGGCGATTTCTCAAGGAGCAGATGCCATGGCAAACCAGTGTTGATTTTTGTTGGTTTATTTTTCAGCATTGAGAATAGTGAGAGTATATTTTTGTTGGGTGGGGAGGTGTGTACAGAACTCCCGAGTTTTTTGAAAACTCAACTTTTCAATAATGAATGATGTTTTTTCCCGGCGCCATATCGATCTGAAGGTGCAGGCCCCATGGCGGCTCCCGAAACCGTTGATTTTTGGAAGACTATTATATTAGAGAAGAAACCTATGGATAACCTTTTCGATTGAATCTGGCGAATCTCTGTGTGCAACCGTGCTACTGGTCAACCTTGAAGCCCTTCCTGGTTGGCGTGGTTTCTCACAATGATCCACCTCAAAGGCTGCGAAACCAGCTAAGCATGGCCAGTGTTTCCGACTTGGGGATCACTGATAAATCATCAGACCAAATACAAATTGGATCAAATTGGCATTCCCTTTGAGAACTCCTTCGCATCAATTCCCAAGCGGCAGTTCAAAAAGCCCTTGCCAAGAATAAGTGGAATTTGATCCAGGAGTGGAAGACGACTCTCCATGTTCTCGTGAGAGGTAGGTAGGTAGCAAATAGTAGCAACAACATTCACTGGAAAACCCCCACAAACGAATTATTGATCTGGTTTGTCGTCTACAATCCGTAAAACAATTGGGTCAGTTTTGTAAAGACCATGATAAACAATAGAAAGAAAGAGAGAAATAAAGAGAGAGAGAGAGAGGAGGGAGAGAGAGAGAGAGAGACAGAGAGAAAACAAGAACGAAACAAATAAAGAAACAAAGAAAGAAAGACAGAAAGACAAACAGAAAGACAGAAAGAGGGAAAGACAGAAAGAAAGAACAAGAGAAAGAGAGCAAAAGATAACAATAAGACAGAAAAGAGCAGACAAGAAACGAAAAGAACATAACAAAAGGAAAGACAAGAAACAAAACAAAGAAAGAAATCAAGAAAGACAACATGAAAGAAAAAACGCACGAAAGAAAGAAATAACAAAATAAGGAAAGACAGAAAGACAGAAAGAAAGACAGAAATAGACAAATAACTAAATAAATGTACACAAATACAGAAAGACAGAAATAAACAAAGAAAGAGAGGGAGTCTTCACAGACATTCCATAGCTGCTACCTAGGGCCCTAGACTCTCTACGGACCTTCTTTAGTTGCTACCTAAGGTCAACCCCGCTTGAAGCTATGGTGTTCACCTCCTCAATGGCTGACCCACGGACTGTGAAGTATGAGGCAGCGTTGAAGCTCTTTCAGATCGAAGTTCCAACATGCCCACTTTGGAGTCTTCTCAAGTTCCACCCTGACAAGTCTGGAGCACAGAGCGGTCAGGGCCAGATCACCAAGATCAACCAAGGCTTCGCGATTTTGGAGCCATTCTCCAAGCAAGTCAGCCAACAGGCGGCAGCGGCCAATCGCAATCGGAAGCTGAAATGTGCATGGCTATTGGAACACTTCTGTGAGCAGGGGCTGGAATGCATACATTGCGTTGCCCTTGCTCAATCAGTTTTCGGGTGCACTGGTTGCAGCCACACGGGACAGGCTGCACCTTGGGGAAGAAATGGAGCATCATCGAATCGCAGTGGAAGACGTTCTATTACCAAATTGCTGCCCATGAAGGCGTTGAGGCAGCCATTGCTTGGCTCAACGGGGCCAAGGCCGCAAAGGCCGGCAGAGACCAGTTTAGCAAAGACCTAGCGGCCGCTCTAAAGAAAGAAGAAGACATAATTTCAAGGAGGCAAGAAGCATGTACAAAATTCTCCCCATACGCACTTGACCAAGGACGAAGAAACACACAACGTGTCGATACATGTCGAGCCATTGGAAGCGGTCCAGGAATCGACTGTTGTCCCGACCGAATTCTCCGAAGTTATGCGATTTGATGAATCCGGCATCATCAGCATCTCCGGAGAAATTGAATCTGCAGCGCAAGATTTTGTGCTCGGTCAACTTCCGACCGCACTAAAATAGAGGACTTGTTGAAGTAGACACTGAACGCGTGACAGCACAAGAGCAGGCGCTTTTGGACCACATGGCAAAGTTAAGTCTTGTAATCCCAACAGGAAAGGCGTATGTGATCGCAGAAGTGCTTCTGGAAGAGTACCAAGATTGGCCTAGCCCTGGCAAAGAAGTTGGAGCTGCCGGATACCGACGACACTTGGCTCAAAGTTCACAGAGCTGCTTAAGTCTACCCTGATGGACCAACTGACGTCGGAGAAGTTCGAAAACGGAGCATTTTGCGCGAGCCTCATCGCTTTGGGAGGTGACTGCTTCGCGCGAGGTGACTGGTTCGAAGCATGTCGAAGCACCGAGGCTTGAGACCGGCACTGCTGCTGCTCAGTGGTGGAACCCAGCTCGGGCCGGTCGACCGGGGGGAGTGGATGGAGTGGACGGAACACGAGAAAGTCATCTACAATCACGAAAGGTAGCTTGAACCACCAGGGTTACTTATGATTGCCTGCTACCTTTTGTTCACCCCCTCCTCTCTCAAGTCCACATGGAAAGCACACCATGTGATGTCGTTTGTCAGAGATCGGAGTGTGACGTCGTTAGCTGGGTTTGAGATGGAGATGGGAGATCGGCGAATTGATGAACCTCTGATTTGGTCAGAGCTTGAAACCATGGCGCCCAGGAATGGCACATCATGACATTCTAGGGGAAGTCCTTATTCTCTAGCTGCTAGAGGAAGACCTTCGGCCTCCAACTACTGAAAAGACGGAGACCTCCCAGGTCGACCAGTCTACCCATCGGGCCAAAGGTCTCCCTACCAAGTCTTCTTCGGTTTCACTCACTCAACCCAGGCAAGCTTTTGTATTGATTCACCAGCTGCCAGCGCTCCAATCTGAGAGTCAGCGGTGGTCATGGTACCCTCCACATGGTTTAGCAGGGGGATTGAAAGCTACCAGGATGTTCTACAATGTTTACCGCCAGCAGATCAACATGACCCCAGTGGTAGATGAGAATACAGGGTTCCGTTTTCACGGTCCATGTGGTACCAGTTCTTTGCTCACTGAGCCGTTTCATCGTTTCTCCAAGGTTGGTGCAGATGGAGTTGGAGAAACTCCTCTCGCGATCCACAGCGCCGGGCTTGGAGGGGACTGCAGAGAGGGTGGGGGAGATGGGTCCACCTTTTGATAAGTTTCGTATAGTCTCAGTGGGTAAACCACTTATGGTGACTCTGGTTCCAACACTAAAACCGCAGACCTTGAAAACCTTCCTGTCTTAGTCAGTGACTAAAAGTGGGTAACCAGTGGTTCCAAACACTAACACCGTAGACCTTGAAACCCTGCTTCCCTGTGTTGTAACTGGAATCCACTAGGAGTGGTTCCGAGCATGAGGACCTAGAATCCAAGTGCCTATTTGCAGTCAGATGTGTTTCAAAAAAACATATGGTGCACAGACGGTTTTGGTGACGACTGACGTCCAGTTGACCATTCTAAAGATGTACTTTAGCTTCTTCCAGGCCTGCAATGTCTCACCGCCGCACTGCCTGGAGGCCTCGATTCATCATCCAATCTTAGTGAAGTACCCCAAGTCATGTGCCGGTCATCCCAGCAGCCATGAAACCAGTCACCACCTGCCATCGAACAGTTTGACCGGCTGACCCGAGTTGACCGGGTCCTGGTACGCACTGCCTGGTACGCGTCTAGCGCTTCGAGGTGCACGGAGAGTTCTTAGGGTCTAGGAGGTATGGGTCTAGCATAGCATGAGTTCTTAGAGTTATGGGGGCTGGGAGCCCGTAGCTCTTGAGGGTTTGAACAACACCCTGCAACGTCCAGTGGATTGATTGAAACTTGGTCGTTAAATCGGTGATCCAAATCCAAGTTCGTCATTTCCTGGCACCTTTTGTAGTAGTGCCCCAAATCGTCGAACTGGACTTTTGGTCTGTCGGATTCTTTGTTTTTCTTTCCCATGGTGCCAAAGGCCATCCCAGCTGAAGATGGTCTCGCTGGCCTGGTCGGTGTTTTCAGGGAGGGACATCGCTACAAATCGCTTTGAAGATGGACATTTGCCAGGTGATTTGGTCAATTTCCTGGCTACTAGTATTTGGTTAATTTAGTTATACTTGATTATTGTACTCATCTACATGCACAGGGAGAGACGGAGAGTTGTTGTTTTTTCCTTTAGATAGTGCCAGGTGTTCACAAGACGGGGCTGAATCCAAGCTGCTACAACCCACCGACTCGACGGTTATTCACCCGTCCTCCTGTTGGGCACTCATCGGGCTGCTTGTAGGCACCGGGCTTTGAGGCGCCCGCGGATGCAGCCTGGGGACTTAGCAGGAGGTCGGCTGCCCCCGACCTCAAGACTAGATGACTAGATGATGACTAGATAAGCTCAATGTGCAAAAAGGTTCTTCGGGTTCATGTGACATGCCTTTGCATGCATGTCATATTCCAGTTGACCACTTCTTGAAAAGTTTAACATCATGTGTTCAAACGCCTCCCAGGAAAGGCCTTCTGCAAGTCAAACATGGACACTGATAGGATAGGGGGCCCAACCAAATACTTGTGCCATTTTGTGGCATGAAGGGCATGCCAAAATTCCTAACGAAGGACGACCTTAAGCACCAAATCGGTGATATGTTCGATTGTGTCGAGCTCATTTGATCACAGACAAGCAAATGTCTCTCAAACGCCCTGACTTGGGGTCTTTCAATTGCACATAATTGCACCTATATATTTGCGACTTTCACGAGCCGTTTTCCGTTATAGCAGGGAGTGTCCCTTGAAAAGACTCCAGTTGGTGAGTGTCCGTGATTTTTGTTGGATTATTCTTTTTAACCAGCCCAGCAATAATCCAAGGATGACAACAAAATGGAGTAGGGATGAGTAGGGTGGAGTAGATAGAGTTTGCTGGTCGGAAGCATGTTCCTAGCATGCATCAAACCCGTCAAGTTATCAGAACGCCTGCGTTGGCCTGAGTCTGACAGTCGACCCTTTGCCCTAAGGGCGGTGTCAAGAATACAGACCAACAATGACCAACACAGAACCTCCACCCTATGGATCCACAATGATCCACATACCTTCTCAGAAGGTAATTGGGTCCTCCTGGCGCCTACATAAATAGTCTCCAATCACCTAACCTGAGAAGGTATGTGGATCCCTAGGGTCCAGCTCACGGGTTCGCAAGGTCAGGTCGGTCAGGTCCGTCAAGGTGTTCCGCCCATGTAGCAATCACTTTTAGAACAATTCAAAAGATGAACAACAAACACATCATCATCCCATAAACCCCACATCATCCCATACATCATGGGCCCCAAGACAAAACCATCAGACTCCTTGGGTCCTTGGGTCCTTCGGTGATCGCTCGCCCCCAAGGATCCCCGCTCGGTGAAGCGCTTCGAGGTGGACCGGGGGACTGGTGCGGCGCTGGCTTTCGACGCACCCCACGGCCGGTCGGTCTCGGCTGTTGAGGTCGTTCCTGGTGAAGAGCACTGAAGTTGGGTAGTACCACAGTGGTGTTTCTTGGTTTGGCCGGTGTTTCTTTTTGAATGAGAAGCCAAGAGTGCTTTGGAACAAGGTGAAAGGGCCTCTTTGATTCGCAGGGGATCTGAGGACGCATCAGTGGTGGTTTGCATCTCTCTGTCGGAGCAGAAGGGGTGAATGAAAGGGGTGAGTCTGACAGAGAGCACCAGCCTTGAAATCTCGAGTTGTTGAGGCGCGGGAACCTGTAACGCACCATGTCCCATACACTCCGCGTGTGTGATATATGACTACATTGACCCCTCAAACCACCCCAATGTAGGCATATATGGCATACATGGAACGTTTGGGTGTTGGTCCTTATTTTGTTGCGGTCAGGATCAGTCGAACTCGATCGATCGTTTCTATACCCCAAAACTGACGGTTTGAGCCACCGTGGCTGCCTTTGTCTCGGAGCGACCCTTATAGGTTGACTGGTCTCCCACTTGTATCGTGCATCATGTAACTCAGCAACATGTTTGATTGTTTGCCTCACTGTGCTGACTTAACGGATGAACAGGCAAGACTGTAGCTGGAAGGATCCAGTGGCCATCTTGGTCACCTATGTTGACTGTTGATGAGCACCCCCAAAAAACATGGATTACAGTGGTTTCAGAGTAGATGGCACTGGCATGGCACCCCTACATGTCTTTTTAGATGGGGGTTCCATATAAACCACCTCTTGGTGATTCTACTCTGGAGTTTCACTGTAAAACCTGTTCAGTCCTGCAGGGTGTTAACTCTTTCATCCTCAAGGTCCGCACGTTAACGGTGTTACAGTCGCAGACGGTCCGGTCGACCTTGTCTGGTCGACCTTTGGTGGAGATGATCCACACGTTTGGGGTGGCTATTTATAGCCCCAAACAGCTTCTGATTCGGGGTGTCCATGACAACCACCCAACTCCTGGGGGTGCTGGTACATGTTGGTGATTTAGTTAAGAGCTTGGTCATCAAGGATGTTTTTTACGGAAGCAGGTGGAGACTTCCCTCTTTCGAGTCGGTTGCTGCAAGTCTAGATTATGAGATCAGTCTCCACGAGTGAGGCTGGGTCGTTTTTCTTCAGTTCACCTCTTCCACTTTTTGTTCGACCCATTTCATTCTTCGCTGTGGAGACCCGTATCTAATGTGAAACGTGCCACATTCGACGGGTAAACCGGTTGCCCGAGCAACATCGCACGAGATTTGTGCTTTCTTAGCTGGTGGTGCTCCCAGCGAGCAAGAGTCCCAAAACATCAAACACCCTAAATAAGATGCGTGTGGAATCTTGATGGGGGGCCTGTCTTAGTGAGATCAAGCCTCATAGGAAGATGTTGGGCATCGCTCCGCGCTCCGCGCTCAATGCGCAGTGATGTTCAGTTCCAACATCCAGCAGTGCTCCTGCTCAGAGAACTTGCACACTTTTCTCACTGGAATCCTGGTTGGTGGGGATGGTTGGGGCAACCTCAGGCTTGGCTTGGATGGATCCTTTTTTTGGCACCATTTGTCACGGTTGACATCCGACCAGATCGCCAATGCCAGCAAACAGCAGCAGGGCCAGCGTGAGGCCAGGTAGGGGTGTGCGCACGTGTGCGCGCGCAACCGGCGCTCGGCGCTTTGGCTTCCACAACGTTTGCTTCGGTCCGTCCCTTTTAAAGCCGCAAAGGGGCCAAAAGGAGCCCCCCTTGCTTGGGCGTTCAAACGATGGATCCCACCGGGGTTTGGTGTACGTACTGCGCCTTGGTGTACGTATAAAAGGGGTTCGCAGCAACCCTTGATTATCCACCAAGGTGAATGGTTGGTTGGGAAGGGACACCTTGGGATCTGAAACATGCAAGTGTTAGGACCTTCACTTGAATGCCAAGTGATGTCAAGTGAAGAGCACCTGGGATTCTTCCGCACATGTGTGAAGAGCATGGAGCATGTCGAATCCCTGATTGTGGATCTTCCAACATAAGCCAACATGTTTGCCAA